GGATTTGTGGCGCGAATGTACGTTGTATTTGGTCTCCAAATGCTTCTCCGTGCACCTTGATAAGAGCAAATATGTTCGTCGGATGTGGAATCGTCCACAGGAGACATCATGTCACACGCGCAGTGAGTGTATGCAGAAGTCGTCTAGTAGGCGAAGAGCAAGATATGTGATAGGAAAAAGGAGAGTAAGCCATTCCTATCAACGCACCACAATTCGCAACATCTACGCATTGCTGAATGGTAGTTGGTGTTTCAATTCTGCCTCATTTTGCCGGCTACCTTAGTTTTGGCTTAAGTTTAAATACCATTAATTATTTGACTCTGCCTAGCAAACAATACGGAGAATTTGATGAAGAGTAACATTTGTTGTATCGCTATATCCTTTTCAATGTTCTCATACGCAGCTGCATCATTCTGTGTTTTCCCACACTGAGCCACCATTCTTCTCAGTTTAGATAACAAATAAAAGACTTTGTCGTGGTCGCCTCCTTCTTGCCATATTTGTTTCAGCTAAAATGGCTCGGAAAGTGCTTTACGCTATGAAGTGAAATTTGCCACATCTTTATGCTTCAAATGGTCAGTTCTTTAATAGTCTCCTATTTTCAAGCAAAAGAGTTCCCACACCAACGCCCCATTTCAGATATGCCATTTGTGAATGGTTAAAGCCTTATTGCATGGACCATGTGTTCGGCATTTCATCAAATACTATACTAGTGTCAAAACCTGCATTTGTGTTTAAGTGCAGCTGTTTGACTTTCAGACCAATTCTGAGCATTAATTGCTGCTTGTAGTTGGTGACCCGACAACAAAGGGAAAAACACACCACGTATACATCACTCAATGTTCTCACTAGGTGTAGTTCATCGGGCTGATTTGAGAATAATGTGATTTCTAATACTGGGCACAATTTTCACTCCTTTGTAGATTCACTTATGCAATGAGAAGCATAATAGTGTTGAATCACTCAATTCTATTTCATGGTAGACAAAGATGATGGTTTGGGGTCTGGAGGAAGAGGATTCAATCTGTATTGAACCAGCCAAGTCTTACCCCTTTACAATTAATTTTGGCTAACAACTTAGCGTCAACTTCGTTTAATTTCAAAGAGATTAACATGTCCCATACTTTCTATTTCTTTAGTTTTCCGAATGAGTGTTGATAGCGACTCTACTCCGTTTTCTTTCACATTTTGCAGGATAGAACTTTGTTTACTTTTAAGTCTAGTACTGATTATATCCGAGACTAACCTATGCAGAACTGGCCACTCGTTCCGACATCAATAAACCATTTTTCAGCATAGATCTACTGAGGGAACAATCCCTTACTAGATGGCGAATGAGTGGGCACATCTTCGTTGTCAGTAAGTACTTGACTGCACTCAAATGCTTGAAAGGAGGCCAAGCTAAACCTGCTGCTCCCTCCGCATCGTGGAAGGCAAGA